TTTGCGCGTTATTAGCCCCCAAATTAGCACCGGGAAATAGCCCCCGCCCCGGGGGGGGGGGGGGGGGTGTTGACAGTGTGGGCCTGCCCGGGAGGAGGCACCGGGCCGGGCCGGGTTTGGGCCGATCCGGGACGCCTTATTTCCTCCTTATTTCCGCCTTATTTCCGCCTTATTTCCGCTTTATTTCCGCTATTCGTGGTGGGAAACGCGTAAAAAGGAGCGGTAATAGAGCAACGTGGCTGGGTTGGGGGGGTGGAGGGGGAAGTGGAGGTGGGGGTGGGGGGGGGGGGGGGATTTGCGGAGATTACTGTGAATAAAGTGCTCTGCAAAAGGCTGCCGGCTTAATCCCGGAGTGAGAGGGATGGGCAGCACCGGCTGGGTCCGGAGGGAAGTGTTAGAACCGGGCTATAATTACTCACTTTAGCATAGCATGCTACTACTTCAAATCCATGTACAGTGGGGGAAATAAGCATTTGACCCCTTGCTGATTTTGCAGGTTTGCCCACTTACAAAGAATGCAACGATCTATAACTTTAATCATATGTACATGCTAACAGTGAGAGACAGAATCCCAAAGAAAATTCCAGAAAATCACATCATATGACTCTATAAAAATGGATAACCATCTGATGAGGAAAAATAAGCATTCTTTGTAAGTGGGCAAACCTGCTAAATCAGCAAGGGGTCAAATACTTATTTCCCCCACTGTACACAGGTCAGTTCATCATATCATCTGCAGTAGTTCTGAAGACAGTATCTTTTTAAGCTTGTTCTGGTCTGAACTCTTGGTGTGCTTATTGGTTCCAGTGAAATATTAATAATAATATATAATGCACTGTGGATTTTAGAGAGTTCGTTCTGGGTCGAGGGAGTTTAAAGTCTCCACCTCGTGCCCGCCTTGTTAAGTAATTATGATTTTGTTCAACAAGGACTAAATGTTCAGCAAAAAATGAGGGCTGTTTTTTAAAGAAAACGTTCCATATAAATAAGAGAAGTCTTAATTCAAGTTTATAAGTTACTGTTACTGCTCTTTGCCAACTGAGATCCTCCGGGAACTTTGTCTGTGAGAGCCCAGCTGCTTTACTCTGCTTGTGACCAATAAATGTCATATTTGTATTCTTGATCCACTCTAGGGATGGGACGGTTTCTGAAACCCGTCTGAACCGTTGGGTTCTGTCTGGGTTGGGTTGGCGTGTGTTGCGTTGGGTTCCTGCTGCTCCTTTTTCTCAGAGGGAAGCGTTTACACTCCAGAGCAGAAGGGGGCGCTACTGCGCCCAAAGCCAACCA